ATTTTTTTACTTGTTTTACCTTAATTTACTGTATTTTTAGCAAAGTTCAATATTTTTCTCCGTTTTTCCGATTTTTTCGTTCAAAAAATCAACTTTCAAAACGTTTCCCCTGCAATTTCCTGTCTTGCAAAGTGAATATCAAACGCGATAAACATCAAATTACAATTCTGTTTATTGTTTTTTGTTAAAACAGCGCTTTTTTCTCGCACTTCTCGGATCGTCTCCGCCTTGCGCGCACTCTCTCTTCTTTTTTACGTCGAACGAACGTAAAAACAATTACGAGAGCGCGGGTGTTTTATACAGTGTACAAATTATAAATTTCGCGTCTTGCGAATGTTTCCCAAGTTTATTTACTTTTGGTTTTGCGATCGCAAAAATTGTATAGTAATAGTCAGCAAAATAAAAAAAGTTTATATAATATTATAGTATGAGGCTGTCGGGAAAATAATGAGCACTCTGTCGCATCGAAAAACAATTGTTTTTAACTTTAGACGCGATTGGCGCAGCGACATTGTGCTCATTATTTTCCCGACAGACTGATATTTCATTTTTCCATAAAGTCCGTAGACTTTTTGTCGCTTGCCGAAAAAAGCTTTTTTGCACAGTGCATTTCACTTTTTTTCCAATTTTTCGCACCGTGCAGAAAAATATCGCCGCACAGAATTATTCGCACGGTGCGAACCGCTTTTTTCAAGTTTGCACTGTGCGACGGAAAAGCGAAAAAATTTTGTCGCTGCCGCACTGTGCAATTAAAAATCCGAAAAAATATTTGCACTGTGCAAAAGTTTAGGAAACAAACTGCACTGTGCAAGTTGAAAAAAAGACTTTGTCGCAAAAAATGCACGGTGCGTAAGCGACAAAGAAGGCGAAAAAAGGCAAAAAAAATAAATAAAAATGCACTCAGCGTTTGCAACAGACGGCAAAAAATGTCTACGCACTTTATGAAAATACTTTTAGTCTGTCGGGAAAATAATGGGCACTCGGTCGCATCGAAAATTGTGATCGAAAAATGAATTGTGTCGCGACAAAATCAAAATTTTTTACTTCAGCGATGCGATTGCCGCAGCCAAAATATGCTCATTACTTTCCCGACAGCCTAATAGTACCGTAATCCACTCGGCATTACGTCTGTTACCGTCACCAATCGCAAACAACAAGCTTATTCCGAATATTCGAATATTTCTCAAACTTTTATTACGTTATATCCCATAAAACGCCATAATCGAATAGAAAACTTTTTCTCGCGGCGACCAAAAGTTTACATTCTTATCAAGAAGGCGAGCCCAGCAAAATGGTATTCGATATAATGATTCATGTTTATATCCTGTGTCGCCGGAGGCGGGGGGTTATAATAAAAATAATAATAAAATCCCGAGCATTTTTTTCGGTTATATTTATCTTACCGGGTGGGTCAAACAATCTTGACATGTCTGCACGGTGCGGAGACCTTTTTGCGATATGTTACGAAATAAAATGCACGTCTGTCGGGGAAATAATGAGGACAATGTCGCTGCGTCGATCGTGTCGCTGAAGTAAAAATTGCGTTTATTTTTCCGCGACAGAGTTCATTTTCTCAGCGACAATGCGATTTTCAATGCGACAGGGTGTCATTATTTTCCCGACAGACTAATATAATGCTTCTAATAGATTCATAAAGTGCGTAGACTTTTCGTCGCAAAGCTTTTTGCATTTTGCATTTGTCCTTTTGCACCGTGCAAATTCAAAGGTGCAACGAATCCACATTATTTTCCCGACAGACTGACAGTAAGCTATAACCAATGAATTTCAAATATAGGCTTAATACGTATATCTTTACGGATCTCTCCCCCATTTTTTTATTTTCAAAATCCACCGCAAGAAAGTAGCCCATCTCCTATTCTTTCCTTATCTAATAATACTCGCCCAGTTGTTACATTCAGATAAGGCGCGGCGACAGCGATCTCGGCAAATCCCAAGCGCCACGCGCATTTCCCCGCAGTCTGGGTGTCTTCCCTATCGGTTTTGCTGATGAATTCGCAGACATTTTGCCGTGAAGTCGGGCTGTTTTCAAATTTTTCTTTGTTTTTTACTACTGTTACTCGGGAGTACCCCAATTTTTCATTTTTTTTATTCTTTTTCTTTTTTTGAATCTTGGGGGTGATTTTTTAACTTTTATTGTTTGCATTTTTCATAAACTAGTTTCATAAGGACATGTTTTCGCTTTTGCACAGTGCATTTTCAACTCTTTCCCGCCCTTGTCGCCAACGCACAGTGCATTTTCTCTTTTTGCACCGTGCAAACGTCAAAACAGCCGTTTGCACTGTGCAAACCTGCGAAAACCAAGAAAAACTGAAATTGACGGTGCAAAAAATCAAGGGTTTTGTGCACAGTGCGGGACTTTTTCCCGTGTTCGTCGCCAACGCACAGTGCATTTTTATCTCGCACAGCACAGTGCAAGCCTCAAAAAAAGTCGTTTGCACTGTGCAATTTCCAGTCGCCTTCGCCGCACAGAGCAAAAACAAAAGAAAAATAAAATGCACAGTGCGAAAAATCGGGAATTTTGTGCACGGTGCGGATCTTTTTCCCACGCTTGTCGCTAACGCACAGTGCATTTTTATCTCTTTGCACGGTGCAAACCTCAAAAAAAAAGTCGTTTGCACTGTGCAAATTCCTGTCGCCGCCGCACAGTGCAAAAAGAAAGCAAAAATGGAAATGCACGGTGCAAAAATTCGGGGAATTTTGTGCACAGTGCAGGACTTTTTCCCACGTTTGTCGCTAACGCAAAGTGCATTTTTATCTCGCACAGCACCGTGCAGACCCCAAAAAAAAGTCGTTTGCACTGTGCAAATTGTTCACCAAAACCGCGGCGACAAATTTCTTCCCATGCTTGTCGCCAACGCACAGTGCAAGCCTCAAAAAAAGTCGTTTGCACAGTGCAACTTCCTGTCGCCTTCGCCGCACAGTGCAAAAACAAAAGAAAAATAAAATGCACAGTGCGAAAAATCGGGAATTTTGTGCACGGTGCGGAGCGCGACAAAAGTCCATGCACTTTATGAAAATACTAATAGGGCTTTCTAAAGCTCTTATTCGAGATTTTTTGAGATTTTTTGACTACATTTTGCAAAAATTTTGTGGTATTTTTCGCACATTATCTTTTGGTCGCCGATCGTTTTGAAAGCGCTTACTGTACATTGCTTTCTACCAACTAGGGATTAGTTGGGTTATCATCCCTCAAAGAATAGTACTGTTTTGTGTTCGGATTTCTCTCTAATCTTTATTATTAGGAATTAGAGAAGCGATGTGTCCCTTTGGCTTCTTCAATTTGGAGAAATACTGGTGTTTCCGGAAAGTGCGCGGACTTTTCGTCGCGACGCAAAAAACTCCAGTTTGCACGGTGCTGTTTTATCAGACTTTTACTGTGTGAATCACATACAGTAAAACATGTCAAGACTTTTTGGCCCGTCTATTAGTCTGTCGCGAAAATAATGAGCACTCTGTCGCATCGAAAATTGTGATCGCCGTCGAGAAAATGAATTGTGTCGCGGAAAAATGTAATTACTTTTCATTTCAGCGACAAGATTGGAGCAGTGAGATTGTGCCCATTATTTTCCCGACAGACTGATAGCCTATGTTTTGCAGAAATCTCAAGATTTTTTTGACGAAAAATTGTTGGTAATCTTAATGTATTTTGCGATTTCTCAAAGTTCAGGGCTTTTTACATGGCTCTCACTTTTTTATCTCTCTGTAAGTTTTACATAGTCGCCACACTCATTCCTGAAAATTTTATTTCGAATTTCGCAAGCCCAGCCGAAATATGGGTCTGTCGGGAAAATAATGTGGACTTGTGGCAGGAAAATTTCTTGCCTCGTCTGAGTCGCTCATCAAATCTCCAGCTGGATATCGCAACTCGATAATGGGCGATTCCAAAGCGCGGCAAGCCCACATTATTTTCCCGACAGACTACATTTTTTTTATTTTTTACTAAAAATTACCGTAATTTTTGACAATTATGAGCTAGAAAACCATATTGTGGAAATAATTTTTTTTCCTTTTTTTCAAATTTTTTAATAAAAGGTTTAACTTAAACCATCGTACTTTACCCCCGCAGAATCCCTCATATTCCCCCGAAAAATAAAAAATAAATATTATCATAATATCTCCGTTTACGGTCGCGTTTATTGCCCGAGTTTTTATTGGCGCGCAGATTAGCAGGCGATACGCATTTATGAGGGCATAAAAGTGTAATCGCCTAACTTAATATTTTGTCGTAAATTATTTACCATATACCTCGTGTTGTTTATTGAGGCCGAGCTTTTATAACCATGTCAGTTTTATTAACATTGAGGGTTTATAAAGTTGGGATTTTACGGGATTTTTGAGAGGAAAAAGTTGGGAAATTTTGGAAAAAAAAATTTTTTTTTATTTTTTTATTCTTTTTTTTTTTTTATTTTTTCTAATATTTTTTTTTTATAATTTTTTATTTTTTTTATGTTCCAGTCCGTTCCCAAACTCACTGCAGTGATTTCGGCGACATGCACTGTGCAAAAACAAGCTTTCACTTTGCACTGTGCAATTTCTCCCTTTTTGCACCGTGCAACTGGCTTTTTTCGCGACTTGACTTTTTTCGCACAGTGCAAACGCCAAAAACCAATCCGGCGATGTGCACTGTGCGAAAACCAAAGTTCACTTTGCACAGTGCAATTTGTTGCTTTTTGCACAGTGCAATAGGCTTTTTTGGGCTGTCGCTCGCACCTTGACTTTTTCTGCACAGTGCAAACGCCGAAAATCAGCCCGGAGGCTTAAATTATAGAAAAATTATAGAAATAGCCGATTATAGAAAAAAAATTTTTTTCCTTTAAAATATTTTTTTTCATTTTTAAATTCTTTCGCGATTTTCACCCCCAAAAAATAATTTTAAAATTTACTAAAATCTTTTTTTTCAGATACAATTCCCCCAACTAAGGATAAGACTGGCTTTCCAGCTGCCTTGTCGTATTTTCTAGCCCGCAAAATTTGCATAAATGAACCTTTTCACCGTCGAGCAGTTGGAGCTGGTGAGGAGGTTGAGGTCGAGTGGAGTTACAGCCGACAACATTGCTGAGGTGGGTGCAATTTTTCTCCTTTTTGATGTGCAAAGTTTGACGCTCAGAGAAAATCGTACTTTCCTTCAATTTTTCATAAACATCAGGGATAGGCCACATATAAATTTCTGAAGATTTTAGCCCGAGCTTTGCAGGGAGAGCCGAGATATTCAACAATCTGCCGAGAGAGTACGTAAATTGCGGAGAGCAGTCAGAGAAAAAACACTTTTTGTCCATATCTTTGCCAGTTTCATGCGGAAAAAAATGATTTTTTGGGGAAATATTATTTTCTGCAGTAGAAATAAGCATGAAATTTTTCACGCCAAAAAATCGCAAAAAAATTTGACATTTTTTTCCAATTTTTGATCTAAAAAATCCCATGTTTTTTCCGCAAAGCACGAACTAGAAATCTTGTATTTTTATTAGAGAAGATTTTTCTAAATTTACGTCAAGTTTCATCAAAACCTGAGCGTTGGAGCGCTTCCCTTGTAAATTTTGAAAATTTATTTTTTTGACAGTTGAGAGACTTCGGATTTCTTGATAAAAAAAAAAAAATACGGAACTGTTTTCTTTATGGCCTTTTAATTTTGTGTTATTCAGGGTCCAAATATACGGTTTTTTACAGGGGAAGCGACGTTCAGATTTTGATGAAAGTTGGCACAAATTTAGACTGATTTTTTCTAAAATACATGCGAGAACTCTAGCTGTCGCTTCGAATTTTGGCACCAAAAATTTTATACCTATTTCTACCGTAATGTAAATGGCAATGATTTTACCAAAAAAATATTTTTTTCCGCACAAAACTAGCAAACTTATGGCCAAAAGTGTTTTTTTTCTACCGCTTCGCCTTTCGCGTACTCTCTCGACGGCAAAGATGGTTCAATATCTCAGTGGAGCTTGCAAAGTGCGAGCTGAAACGCTGAAATTTTTAGGAATTGATATTTAGTATATGCCCGGAGTGTGTGCAAAATTTAAAGAAAATCTGAGCGTCGCACTTGGAATACTTAAAAAAAATTTCTCAATCGTCTTTTTCTCTCCTATCTATCATTTGCATGTCTAAACAATCCTCTGCACAGCCTCTAATTCCAAGTAAACATACAAAAAATTACATTGCAAGCGAGTGATCTTTAATGTAACAGAGCTCTGCAGAGCCGAAGCCCCAAATTAGCGATGTAAAGCCCCACTTTACATCGCTGATTACATTTGGCCAACCGCACGTAGGCCGCCGTGAATCCAATTATTTGCTGTCACAGTCATTCATCATTAGGTGGTATTTACAATCTGTGCCGGCTTCACGTTGTGCATTGCATTTGTTGGGCGGTAAATATTGGAAAAAGTCAATAATAATTTTTTGTTGTAATGTCTGAAATTTAGAGTGATTCTTGGTGAAATTTAGCCAGCACGCTAGCGTTTGATACGTATCTCGTTAGAGATATCCTGATTGTAAGAATTTTCACTGTGCTGTTTCTACGCGTCGCTGCAAAAATCGAAAAGTGCTTTGCACAGTGAAATTTGTATTTTTTTGCCGCGCGCGATCCCCATTTTTCGCACGACAAATCATCTTTCTCAGAGTGCGACGAAATTCTGAGCCGCAGTAAATTCTCACGATTTTTTGCGCCGAGATTTTCAGCGTAGTTTTTGCGCACAAGCATACGGTAGATGACGGTCATGGAAAACAAACGTCTTTTATTCGTAATGCTACGCAAATTCTTAATACTTTTAGAGCATTTTTAAGATTTTTCAGAAGAAACACTTCAAAAATGATCATCATGGATACTTTCTGATACTTTTTGAGGGAAAATAAAAATTTTTTTAGCGATATGAACTGATATAAATTCGTTTCTTACTCTATACAGTATTTTTCCATTTTCGACACATTAGATTTTTCAATATTTTCCAAAAACCTTTTTGCATAAAGTCTCGTTTCCGCTACAAATTTCATGTTTCTACGCGGTTTCAATTTTATGCTGAGAACCCGGCTTTCCAGACTACACCCAGATGGCCGTATTTCTCATCATTCCGAGTATTATTGTACCTAAAAATACCTACAATTTGCGCAAATTTTTAGGTAACAACTTCTCCATCTTCACCTCTAAAATATCCCCGTTTTGCAGTGTTTGGGCTACATTTTTCGCCCAGCCCAGCTCAAGTTTATTGTCTATGTGACAAGAGTGTTCAAGAGGGGCTTGCGTAAAAGCTACCGGCGATTGTTTACGTAGTATTCTGATGTATATTTGGGGCTTGTCAGACGGCTCGATAAATATAATAGAAATGTAGCTAGAGATAAGAAATTGTTTCGTGTAAGGAGCAATAGGCACTCAATACATTGTGTGTTTGTGCTTTCTATGACTGGAGGGAGACTGTATTAGTCTGTCGGGAAAATAATGAGCATTCTGTCGCATTGAAAATCCCATGCCGAGAAAGTGAACTGTATCGCGGCAAAATCAAATTGCTTTTCACTTCAGCGAAGCAATCGGCGCAGCGACATTGTGCTCATTATTTTCCTGACTGTCTGATAATATCTTACTCGATTAATCCCCCTGTCCCTCTAGGAATTTCTGGTCAGCTACGTCCCTCTTCCGTAGCGCCTCCGACCGTAATACTCGCTGATTTCTGGTCGATATCTTGGTGCCCCACCAAAGTCCAGCCAAGCTCCCTCACTTTTTACAAGTCACTTTTGCCACATGAGGACGGGCGTTATCATGGAGAAAGAATACTTTGTCCATTTTTCCATCGATTTTTTTAGCTTCTCCCGGTCCACCCGGGAGAAGTAGGTCTCAGCCGAAATGGTTGTTTGTTCTGGAAGCAGTTCCCAATAGCATATTCCTTTACCGGCCCACCGTAACGCTTAGCAACACCTTTTTTGATGCAAGTCAGGTCTTGCGGTCGGAATTCCATTTTCCAAGGGCTCTAGCCACTGGCGCTTCCGGTAGTGGTCGCCCCGAGGTTTCTGGGAATTTTTTTAAAAATGTGGAAAAACTTTTGAATCAAGCCAATAATATCACTCTGTCGGGAAAATAATGACCGCTCTGTCGCATCGAAAATCGGGGTTTTCCAAATGAGCGTTTTTTAATGCACGGCCCAGACGTTTCTTTTTGCACTGTGCGTTTCACATAAAGGTGAAATGCACAGTGCAAAAAGCTTTGCGACAAAAAGTCTACGCACTTTTGAAAACCCGAAATAAAAGTGCATTCATAAAAATTTTATTTTTTTCCCGCTGCACGATGTTGTTATTATAACACATTTTGCAACGCTTGTTCCGTTGCACGCACACTTGCTTTCCCCTCCGTCAAAAATGGCACGTATTCATTTAATTAGCGTCTAGGTGATTAGAGGAAATTGTTTTCTTCTTCTCAGCGGGGACTTTTGAGATTGTTTTGAGGCCCCCCAATCCCCTCAATTATCACATTATAATACCGAAAGATTAACGGGGATGTTTAGGATAGCAAACTCGGCGTACTTTCATCTTTCTTACTACGAATAAAATAGTATAGTGAGCTGACTGGGTCCGATTACCGGATTACAGTAAGTGCTGGGACCGAGGCAGATTGACACACGATACTCCTATGCAATTACAAGGCTTGTGATTTGGGGAAATTAAAGGTTAATCGAACAAAACGGGTCCAGGGTTCATTTGTTGGAGATTTTGTAACGAAATCTTAGAACAGTTTTTTTTCGGCTCCTTCTAGGAACAATAGGCTGGCAAAATTGTAAATTTAATATAATAGTTATTACTAGATATGTAGGATATTATCACATTGTCGGGAAAATAATGAGCACAATATCGCTGCGCCAATAGCGTCGCTAAAGTGAAAAGAAATTTTGATTTTTCCGCAACACTATATTTTCTCGGCAGCAATCACAATCTTCGATGCGACAGAGTGTTCATTATTTTCCCGACAGGCTGAAAAATAAAATAATTTTGACAAAAATGTTTTTCGGTCGGCATATTCCACGAAAGATTCGGTTTTGACATTTCGTTTGAATTCAACCGATACTAGATGGGCGAAATGCCACAAGGTAGCGGGAGACGCCCTGGGTTACCGTGCCACACGTCAAAACAATTCTTTCGGAAAATTGAAAAAACAAGGAATCGCGGATCATTGATTTTTTTCGAAGTGCCCCACAGAATTATCGAGCTTGAAAAATTATTTTCCTCTTCGAAAAAACATTTTTCTCGAAATTCTCTGAGAAAGTTTTCTTTTGTGACTCGATAATTCAGCGACATTTCGTCAAAAATCGAAGGTCCGAGGTTCCTTGTTTTTTCACTTTTTCTTTGACGTTTGCCACCCCTCGATCCCTCAAAAAAATGCCGACGCATTCCAAACGCGGCTCTCCCACTTCCCTTTTGCGCCTCACCTCCCGATCGCCCCCCTGCATAGAGCAGGGGGAGTGAGTTGGGCTGCAAAGCCCAAACCTCCTAGGTTCGATTCTTCATTACTCGCTCATTCTCTCTATTTACAAAGACAACGAGCTCCCGCTCAGTTAATCCGTATCTATGTAAACAGGCAACACGCGGCCTACAACTTCCGGTAGAGCTACACGGTAACCAGCATGCCTGCTGATGTCGTTACCACCATGCCTAAAAATCTTCCGAGATTCTGTAACCCTTGTAAGTCGTCACTGCAGCGTGACAGCATTGGCGATTACAGTTTTGCATTTTTGGAGACTTGAAGTCTGTCGGGGAAATAATAGCGAGTCGTCGTAGCAAAACATTTATAGTCGCCTCGTCAAAAAAAAGCGGGCAGTGGCGCACTAAATTTCCAGCTGCGGCTAGCGTTGCGATGATGAGCGGTTCCAAGGCAATACTACCCGCCGTTATTTTCCCGACAGACTGGTGCTACCCAAGGAAAAAAGTCTTGAGAATTTATGAAAATACAACATGATTTGTCGTTGCGAAAAAATTGGAATTGCAAAGAAAAAATGGAAATGCAAAAAAAAAGCAAAAACGCAATTTGGAAAGCATCTTTTTTCCGATCTTTGCGGCGACGGACAGAGTTACGGGAGACCCGAAAGTCGGGAAAATGAGGAGGAAGCTGCATGGAGAATAGCGACGGTCACTTTTTTCGTTGTACAAGGCATCTCAGGGGATCAAAAAATAAAATTTGTTTGTTGTATATATCAGTCTGTCGGTAAAATAATGAGCACTTTGTCGCATCGAAACTGACAGACAAAGGAAAATTTTGTATTAATTTTATAGTCTAAACATCCCTTTTAATACAAGCGGCGGACTAATCGTCTCCGTGAATGTGGAATTACAATAACAGAGTTGGAAATTAATCTGGAGCACTTTTGGCCCCAGCTTAGCCGGTCTTTCTTTCCTTTGTATTGGGGCCGTACTGTACGGCCTACGTGCCAAACGTCGGCTTTTTTTATCTTGTACATAAAGGGGATTGTTCGAATAATTAGGGGGCCTGAAATGTTTTGGAGAATTGGAACTTTTCGAGGCCGGGGGTTTCCGATTATTCCCTGTAATATTTCAGCTTACGAGGGAATGGTCTGAACTTCCCCCGGCGTTTGGAAAAATGACTAGCACAGGTGGATAGAGCAGGTAAACTTTGGCAAAAAGAGCCATTTTCCAGCTGCGGAATAAGCCCGGCCGACGAGAAAAATCGACCGAAAGTTCCACAAAAATTTCCTCTTTCTCTTCCCTCGGAAAAGAAGAGCGGTGTCCAGTGGTTCGGTTAGCCGAGTGGATAAAGCATCCGCTCGATATTCTTTTGGGGGTTGGTTCGATTCCGGGGCAGCCCGAAGGACCGAAGACTTTGGTGTGGGCAAGACCAAACTCTCATAAAACAAAAAAAAATATTTTGCCATTTTTATACGTTTTATGGAAATATACCGAAAACACAGATAATCGTTAAAAAAATTTTTAAATAATACAAATTGGGGTACAGTCCTTTTCAAAAAGAGATGATGGATACCTTTATCTATGACCAAACGAGTATGACTTCGACGTTCCATCGATTTGTAGGTCTGGAAAAATCCAAAAAAACCATTTTTTAACGATTATCTGTGTTTTCGGTATATTTCCATAAAACGTATAAAAATGGCAAAATATTTTTTTTTTGTTTTATGAGAGTTTGGTCTTGCCCACACCAAAGTCTTCGGTCCTTCGGGCTGCCCCGGAATCGAACCAACCCCCAAAAGAATACCAAGCGGACGCTTTATCCACTCGGCCAACCGAACCATTGGACACCGCTCTTCTTTTCCGAGGGAAGAGAAAGAGGAAATTTTTGTGGAACTTTCGGTCGATTTTTCTCGTCGGCCGGGCTTATTCCGCAGCTGGAAAATCGTTCTTTTTACCAAAGTTGACCTGCTCTATCCACCTGTACTAGTCATTTTCCCAAACGCCGGGGGAAGTTCAGACCATTCCCTTGTTAGACATGTAATTGGAGGGTAATAATAGAGTGTATTCAGTGGAATCGTGGGTGTGATAGGCTTAGCAGCTTGTTTTAAGCATTTCCAAACCTTGACGAATAGGCAAATTTTCGCTGCGAGACGCAAAGTTTGGTGATATCAGTCTGTCGGGAAAATAATGTGGATTTGTCGCCGCATGCAAAATACTCGCTTCGTCGTAGTCGCAAATGACTTGAATTGGCAAAGTTATTTGTTTTAGGTATTTTCAAACCCTGTAGAACACTTTCTTCGTTGTATATCCAGTCGCGGCTAGCCGTTGCAAAAGCAATGATGAGAAATTCTAAAGCGCGAAAAATCCACATTATTTACCCGACGGACTGAATCCTATCAATCGCCGATCGCGTCGCTGAAGTGAAAAGCAATTTGATTTTGCCGCGACACGAGGAGATGCCGGCGAAGCAATTGGCGCAGCGATATTGTGCTCATTATTTTTCCGGCAGCCTGATAGTCCTCTAAGTGAGTCAACCGCACCTTTGGCCTGTTACATCGCTTATTACGACAAATTGTATTTGGCTATTAATAGAGAAGCGCGCGTTCGAAGCCCCTACCTTTTAATATTCCCAACCCAAACGCAGCGGCTCCACGCCTCTACTCGGTCGTAATCTTTATCCCAATTTCCTCATTAAAATTAGAGTGCTGCCGAAAAAACGGTGACACAAATCGATCACTCCGTCGCTAATCCGCCACGGGCCGAACAAAGAGCGCCGCCGAAATGTTGGTATGTGTAGGTACAAACATTTTAATAGCGATATTAATAGCGCAACCCGGCCCGTTTATCCGACCGCCTAATCGGGCCGAATCCGGAAATCTTTCGCCCAAGTTTCGCGGCCCCAAAAAAGGCTTTTCCTCGGTGTGCTTTTGGGCACATGAGCTCCCATTGTGTGATGTTTGCGAGTGTTTCGTAAAGAGTTGTTTGTTGGCGATACTGTAGCGAGAAAAGTGGGCTTTATGTTGTAAAAGCCGGATTTTTTATATCTTTTACTCATAATGTAATTGTGTTTATTTTAAGTGTTCAGGGATTATAATGACGGGAGTGTTATGAAATGGCTGAAAATAGCAACTGTTTTTTTACATTTTTGGGGTTTTTCGAAACTTTTGGGTCTCGCCACGAAATTTAGCATAATGTTGCAAATTGTAAAATACGTAGTGAGCTAGTTTGTATGCCTTTCTTGTGAGTCGTTGGAAATTAGGTTTAAATTCATTTTTTTTTTATTTTTGGGTCTCACCACGAAAACTTGGCATTTTGCCAAGTTCGCTTAAATTAAAAGTGAATGTTTACGAATCGTTGATTGGGGTCTATAATCGCCAGAAAAATTAATTTTTTTAATTTTTCATATATACTTAGTTCGGGTCCTAGCACGAAAGCTTGGCATTTTGTCAAATTGCTTTAAATTAAAAAGTAACGTTCAAGACTCGCTTTCACTAGCCTACAATAGTCAGAAAAAATGAGATTTTCTTAATTACAACACTTACAAGCACTTAGTCCGGGTCCCACCACGAAAACCTGGCATTTTGTACAAGTCCGAAAAACTAATCGAAAAAGATTGTACCACACAATTTTATGCATTCAGCAATCATATGGATGTTCGAAAATTCATCCTCACGCAAATCTCCCAACATTACCGTAATCCGACATTTGCAGTATGTACACAATGTACACATATATGTATAGCTTGAAGAAGAGAGTGTGTCAAAAATACCCCCGGGTGACGCACTCCGGACATAACGGGTAATGTTAATCGCATTGTGCCATTGTGTGCATTCTTGGCCGCAAAATACGAAACGAGTGTAATCGTGGTGTGAAAGAGGAGATTTTGTTTGTGATGAGGAATGTTTTCGGGCCTTACAATATGCATTTGCTGATGTATGGCATATTCGGAGGGGGAAATGAGGAGCGGATGAGGTGTGTTGTAGTTAGAGGTTGTAAAATGGACAAAAATTTGGATTAATTTGGACGGAGGGAGAGGAGAAAATTTTGGGTCGAAAATGTGGAATTTTTTGCGAATTTTGACATGAAAAGTTTCATAGCTGTTTCTACCGAAGAGAGTAATGTTTCCTCAAAAAAATCAATTTTTTCCGTGCGAAACTGGCCAAGATATAGCCAAAAAATATTTTTCTCTGTGATCGCTCTCCACATTTTGCACACCTTTTTTTCGCTTCTCAAGTATGAAGGTTGTTGTAAGAGACAACTTTAGGAACGTCTAGGCTGATAAAATTTGTCGAAATTCGCTGTGCGGACTTTAAAAATGAATTCGGTTTTTTGCACAGTGCAGAAAAAGCGAGAATCTGCACTGTGCGGTAGTTTCTTTGATTGCACTCTGCGTAAAATTTCTGTGGAAAATTTTGCACAGTGCGGAGCTTAAAAACGAATTTTTTTAGCACGGTGCAGAGAAAATGAGTACATTTTTTGTGTAGAAAATCGCACTGTGCAGACTTTCAAAATGCCTTCTTTTTCGCACGGTGCGGAGAAAATTATAGTCCGCACTGTGCGGTCGTTTTTTGATGGCACTGTACGTAAATTTTTGCGTTGAAAATTTTGCACTGTGCGGATTTAAAAAAATGATTTCTTTTTCTTCTGCACAGTGCAGGGAAAAGAACAAACTGCACTGTGCGGTCGTTTTTTGATTGCACTGTGCGTGAAATTTCTGTGGAATATTTTGCACTGTGCGATCTTTAAAAATGATTTTTTTGCACCGTGCAGAGAAAATTAGAATATGCACTGTGCGGTAGTTTTTTGATTGCACTGTGCGTGAAATTTCGGTGGAAAATTTTGCACTGTGCGGTCTTTAAAAATGATTTTTTTGCACTGTGCGGAGAAAAAAGGAATTTGCACTATGCGGTCCAAACTGCTTCCTTTCGAATAAAACAAGGCCTACCATACATTTCCATTGACAAAAGTCTCAAGGATTGTCGTCATTTCGTACAATGTACACAAAACTTTTTCCGTTCCCTTCAATTATTAGTCCATAAAGTTTAAAATAAAACTCCATTTACTCGGCGTACGTCGATCTCTTCACCTTCTCCATTGTCAACACCGAAAGGTCTGTCTATTGTTCGTCACAAACTCACAATCACAGCAGACGTTGTGCCCGCCCATGGCTACATTTTTGCATCAGAGGAGTGAAACTTTGAAATTTTTGATGGTTCATTTTTGCCGACGAAAAAACTCATTTCGCAAATTGTAGCCGACTAATTGGGCGGCGGATTGTAGTATGCAACATGATCGTGCAAATAGCATGGCGGAAGCGCTCAAAAAATACCGCTTTTTGCCTATAAACTCGGAAATTTATTACCGTAATTTTTTTGATGTCGAAAATTTACATTGTTTGTCAAGTAGTGGGTTGTTGTGAGAGTCGTATTCAAGAGTGTCTAGGTTGAAAATATTGACGAATTTTGCACTGTGCGGATTATAAAAATTATTTGTTTTTTTGCACAGTGCAAAGAAAAATTAGAAACTGCACTGTGCGGTCGTTATTTCATTGCACTGTGCGGATTTTGAAAATAATTCCATTTTTGCACAGTGCAGGGAAAATGAGAATCCGGCCGTTTTTTGATGGCACTGTGCGGACTTCAAAAATGACTTCATTTTTTGCACAGTGCAAAGAAAAGAAGAAACTGCACTGTGCGGTCATTTTTTGATTGCACAGTGCAGAGAAATTGAGAATTTGCACAGTGCTGAATTTGAAAATAATTCCATTTTTGCACAGTGCAGAGAAGTTGAGAATTTGCACTGTGCGGTCGTTATTTCATTGCACAGTGCTGAATTTGAACATGATTTTTTTTTGCACAGTGCAGCGAAAAGTAGACTGCACTGTGCGGTCAATTTTATGACTGCACCGTGCATACGTTTTTTGTGTCGTAAATTTTGCACAGTGCAGGGAAAATGAGAATCCGGCCGTTTTTTGATGGCACTGTGCGGACTTCAAAAATGACTTCCTTTTTTGCACAGTGCAAAGAAAAGAAGAAACTTTTTTGCACAGTGCAAAAAAAAGAAAAAACTACACTGTGCGGTCATTTTTTGATTGCACTGTGCATAAATTTTTGTGTTGAAGATTTCGCACTGTGCAAAAAATAATATAACTTTTTTTGTTATTTCTTCATTTTTTACTGTCTAATTTCACAACTCGTCTTATAAAACTCAAATTTGTTTTCCTCCAAAAATTCGGCTAGTCGAAAATCCCTCCCAAAAATCCTCTTTCGGGCCCCCCGGAAATCCACTGATCTCTGGGCGAATTATTCGGGAAGTAAATCGCTTAATAGCGCCGTAAATTCCATTTCATGGAATCTCAAAAATTTGTTGATGAATTTTCACATGACGTCGACTGGCCGATAATATTTTTATTTATATTTTTTTTGGAGGAAAAATCGGATTTTTGGGATTTTTTTGGATTTCGTTGTGAAATCCCACTTGAGTTTTTGAAAGAGTTTAGACAAATAGAGCATTTGTAAAAATATCACGCCTTTGTAAAGCTATTATCGGCACTCAAAAGATGTTTAGAGCAGCTACAAAGCCGCTGTTTATTGTAAGTCAGTTATTTTGAGAAAAATGGGAAATCCTTGAGACTGAACGCTCAGATTTTTTTGAAATTTTGAGTGAATGGTCTGTCTAGTCCACTTATTAATTGTTAAAAATTTTATGTCGCGCTTTGCTAGCGGAGCCGAGATATTTAGCGATTTTGGGGGTGAGATTACGGAAAATGAGGAAAAACCTTTTTTTGGCCGTATCTCTGGAATTTAGCCTTGGAAAAACATAATTTTTTGTGGCAATATTTTACTATTGGTCTTAAACATCATGTCGAAGCGTTATGCCAAAAATCAAAAAAAAAATTGTTTATTTTTTTTATTTTTTTTTTCAAAAAATCTCGAAAATTTTGGCGAACCGCAAGCTAGAAATCTAGGACGTGCCTTGAAAAATCATATTTTAAATTTATATTTAGTTTCAGCCAAATTTATTACCTAAAATTTTTTATTTCAGTCTTTGCAAAAGATCCTTAAAAAACTCCATAAAGTTTCAAAAATATCTTTTATTTTTACACTGGATTAGAAAACAGTTTACATCATACTTTTGTTATTTTGCTATTTTCTCCTCCTTTATAGCGTATTACCTTTTTTTCGGCGATTTTTTATATTCTCCTTCCGGCTCAACTCCCAGAACTTTCTTTGCCCAAAGCTCAGCCACTCGCCCTTATATTTGAGTGTTCGGTTAATCTACAGGGTTATTAGACGCTCTAGTTTTGCTCTACTATTCTTTTGGTTACAATTTTTTCGGTTATTCAGGGTTACTGTAACTTTTAAAAAAATTTTTTTTAATTTTGAAAAAATGAAAATTCGGTCTAAAATACGGATTTTCGAAGTTTCAAAAAATTTTTCATTGGCTAGAAAATTTTTTTAATATGTCATGATGACATACAAATTTTTGTTTTCCCACCAAAAAAAAATAAATAAAACCCAAAGTGCAAGTAACTAATTCGTAAAGAGAATTCCTCTGATTTCAAAGCGGGATTAGCCTCTCGGATATTGTCATTGCTCGAAGGAAGTGATAGTAAAGTCTCAACAAATCGGGGGATTAGAAAAGGTTTGTGGAAAATTAGGCTTTCTCTGCACTGTGCAATAATTTAATTAAAATATGCGGGAGAGTTAAATTTTATAGCAGCTTTCCAGTTACTGTATGGTGATTTGGTTGTAAAGTAGGATTTTAATTGAGTTTTGTAATTTGCTGCTGAATTAGAAGGGATATTAAAACTTGTTGTTTTTATTGCACAGTGCAGTGTGATTCTTAATTTTCCGCACAGTGCAACGTTTTTTGGCCAAATTTTTGCTCGCACTGTGCGGCAGCGACAATTTTTTCTCAATTTGCACAGTGCAACGTTTTTTGGCCAAATTTTTGATTGCACTGGGCGACAGCGACAATTTTTTTCCTTAACTTGCACAGTGCAGTGTGATTCTTAATTTTCCGCACAGTGCAGACATCTTTTGCTAAGTTTTTGATTGCACTGTGCGGCAGCGACAATTTTTTCTCAATTTGCACGGTGCAATGACTTTTGTCCGGATTTTTGATTGCACTGTGCGGCAGCGACAATTTTTTCTCAATTTGCACGGTGCAATGACTTTTGTCCGGATTTTTGATTGCACTGTGCGGCAGCGACAATTTTTTCCCTCAATTTGCACAGTGCAGTCTATTTTCACAATTTCTGCACGGTGCAATGACTTTTGATCGGATTTTTTGATTGCACTGTGCGGCAGCGACAAAAAAAACTTTTTTGCGCAGTTCAAAAACATAATTTTTCGGTACTGTTCATTTTTTACCCACCAAAAATCTCGTCATCCCAAATTTTCGGCTGTTTCAAAACCCCTGACTCACAATTACAAACGCCATTCTCAAAATAACATTATTGTAAAGCAGTAGCTCATAACCGAGAATATTGCCTTCGCTCCGCCGCTGTATACTGACTCATTTCTTGGCCCAATGTGAAACGGAATTTCTTCCTGACTCACGTCGAATTATTACAAACAAACAACTCTCTCTGGGCTGACCTTTCGGCGGCGGGATTATAATTCGGCGGGATTAGCGGTTACGGTCAGTGGGCGGCGAGTTTAATTGCGACCAAATCCCCCCTCCGGCATTGTTCGCAATTGTTTCGACCGCGGTTCGCATTGTGATTAAATTTTTTTGGGGGATTGTTTGTCGTAATTGGGACAATTAACGGGCTAAGAAGGGCTATTAGTCAAAGAATAGCGGTGAAAACGTGATTTTTGGTAGTATTCGAGTTGCCCTTTAAAATTGTTTTGTCGTGTAGCAATTTTTGAGACATTTTGGAAGGCTTTGACACTCTGAGATTTTCATTTTTCGACTGCACGGTGCGAAAAAAATCAATTTTTTTATTGCACTGTGCAGTTCACAAAATCTTGTTTTTTTGGTGATTTTAGTAGTATTCGAGTTATCTGTTAAAATTGTTTTGTCGTGTAACTATTTTTGAGACATTTTGGAAGTCTCTGACACAGTGCGATTTTTATTTTTTGACTGCACAGTGCGAAAACAACCAAATTTTTTAATGCACTGTGCAGTCCAAAAAATCTTGTTTTTCGGCACTGTGGCTGGAAAAAATTCAGTTTTTCTGCTGTAATCACTAAATCTAGAGCATAGTGAATACAAAGGCACAGCGTGATTTTCAATTCTGACATCACTTTGCAAAAAAAAGTCAATTTTTTCATTGCACTGTGCATTTCAAAAAAATCTTGTTTTTTGGTACAGTGCATGGAAAGTTCTGAGATTTTTTGTTGTTATCGAAACATCTAGAGCTCCAGAAATCTCAAGGCCTTGCAAAAAATTTTTATTCTGACATCACTTTGCGAAAAAAAGTCAAATTTTTCATTGCACTATGCAGTCGAAAAAAACTTGTTTTTCGCACAGTGCAGTCAAACAAAAAAAATCGAGTACTGTCAAATGGTCAGCAATTTGAAAACAAGTTTTTCTTTATTTTCAGTCCATGATTTTTCTCAGCACTGTGCAAAAAAATAATTTTTTTTTGACTGCACAGTGCAATTGAAAAAAAAATTTTTCTCGCACTGTGCAAGAAAAATGGATTTTTTTAAGACCCCTAAAATTTCGACAGTAGAATTTTTGGTCTCTAAAATGTTGTCTTCACTGTTTTTTCCACGCCTCTTCTCCCCTTCCGATCTCGAAATCTTAGACTATAATAACAAAATTGCCTGCGGAACACCGTAATTACCCTCGCTATTTTTACGCAATTCCAGGCGTTTCGAGCCATGGAGAAGATGGAGACCGAGGTGCCCGCTAATCCCGACCAGAATCCACCTGTTTCGGCGGCCGATTTCGCGGCGTTTGTGGCCACCTCCACCAGCACGCCGACGTTTAATCCCGCCCAGGCGTCCAGCATCCCGAACAGTGTGCTGGTGCGGCAGTTGCAACAGGTTTGTGAAGGGGGGAAATTTTGGATTTTTTTGAAAAAAAAATTATTTTTTTGGGAAAAAATTTCGAAATTTTCAAGTTTTTTTTTCGAATTTTTTATTTAAAATTTCAGGATTTTTTTAGAGAAATTTGAATTTTTCAAAAAAAAATTTTTTTTTACTAGAAATTTCAAAATTTTCAAAATTTTTTTTTTCGAATTTTTCCTTCAAAATTCCAGAATTTCTTACAAAAAAGCTTACTAATTTTCCCAGAAAAAATCGATTTTTTCGATGAAAAATTTTAAAAGTTATAGCCAAAAAACAAAAAAAAAGCCAAAATTTCAAATTTTTCCACAAAAAAATCGCTGAGTTCTCAAATTTTCCGACCAAAATTTATCTCTTCTCTTTGTATCATGTGTGGCAGGTATCAAGAGTAACCAAAAAGATTAATCTCTAACAAAAAATTTTGACTCAAGCTTGTCGTGTTAATGATTTGAGCAAATATTTCCGATTACTGATAAGGGCCGAAAAAAGTAATACTTTAAAAAAAAATTTTTTGCTTGCTTACAATATAATGGAGTTTCGAAACTAGAAAATAATATATTTTTGGAGCAGTTGAGCGAGATGAAAAATGCAAAAAAAAATGATTTTTTTTTGCACTGTGCAATTCTTGAGTTTGAATTTTTGAACACAGTAAAAGAAATTGTGGGATTTTGGAGTGTCTTGGGCATGATAGGACACTAAAAAATGCATAATTAAAATTTTTTGTAATTGCCCTATCATTAGAGTCCATTTTTGGCATCTTTATTTTTTGCACAGTGCAATTTTTAAATCTTCAAATTTTGCACGGTGCAATATTTCAAACAACTTTTTGGTGAGCAAAATTCTTTTTTAGGATGTTAAAAAATATTTTCGTAACCTTTGTTTTATTTTTCTTGCTGCTATATACAAGTTATAACGCTTTGACTTTTTCGCACAGTGCAGTTTTTCGGCTTTTCCAATTTTGCACCGTGCAATCTTGCAATTGCATTTATTTTACAGTATTTTGTCCAAGATTATCTTTGCACGCAAGCCATTATTTTTGCAATCTTTTGCGTATTTCAGTTTCGTTTTATCCGCATTTTTTCTTCCGCGTCGTCATCCGCAAAAAAATCTCATAGCAAATTTTCGGAGAGTCGGCAAAAAAATCGGCTCCAAAATAAAGCGGATTAACTTCTTCCACTAATCACAGTATAACAGTCGTATTGCCTCAGGGCTTCGTTATTATAGTAATTGTTTTCGCACAAGTCGACGAATTTTTGGAGACAAATAATAATTTTTGCGGATAAATTGCGAAAATTACGGTTTAAGAACTACTTTTTGTCCATACAAATTTCGAAATTAGCCTACAAATTTTTTTATACCGCATTTTAAAATTTTTGCCAGCCGCACTGTGCAAAAAAATAATTTCTGACTGCACTGTGCAAAAAATTTAAAGTCGATTTTTTTGCACTGTGCAATGAAAAACTGGACGATTTTTTTATTTTTCATAGTAAATCAGAGTTCGAAATTCTGTATCCTTTTGTGATTCCCCAATTTTTCCAGCCGCACTATGCAAAAAAAAAAATTTTCGATTGCACTGTGCGAAAAATTTAAAGTCGATTTTTTGCACTGTGCAGCGAAAAATCGGATGAATTTTTAATTTTTCGTAGTTAATAGGAGTTCGAAATTGTATATCCTTTCGTGTTTCACCAATTTTTTAATCGCACTGTGCAAAAAAATCAACTTTACTTTGACTGCACAGTGCATAAGGAATCTTTTATTTCCTGCACTGTGCGGGGCAAAAAACGATAAAATATGTATTTTAAAATAAGTAAAAGTAAAATTTAAAATTTTTTGCGCTATTTTTAGCAATTTTCCGGATTTTGAAAAAAAAAAATTTTTTGAAAAAAAAAATTTTTTTTACATCCTAACTTTTCATTTGCAGCTAGCCGAACAGCAACAACAATCCACCTCAGCCATCACATCTTCCGCCGAAAATCTGCAAAGGTGCGCGTTCACCACAGTCCCCGAATCTTGTGTTTTCGGCTCCTCAATGCACAGCCAATCCAGCCCCACGTTGCCACGCCCACAGCCTTCGGCGGCGCGCCCAATCCGATCGCAACGCCAGCCAATGAAAGATATCACGACATTGGAGGACCCCAACGAACTGGAGCAGTTTATGGCCCAAGGCGAGGAGGCGTGCATCAGCGACATGAAAAAGTTTATTACGCAATATTCCCTGAGGCAAACGACGGTCGCGCAAATGACTGGTGAGATTTTTCTTTGTTTGAAAAAAAGAAAAAAAAAGAAATTATGACCGTATTTTACAAGAAAAATGTTTTTTTGATATCGATTTTTTGCACGGTGCAATTTCAAAAAATTTTTGTCTTGCACGGTGCGGTTAAATTTTTACAATTTTTTGCACTGTGCAGCTGGATCAGATTCCTAAAAAGTTTTGTTGAGAAGACGTATTTTACACTCCAAATTTGATTTCCCAAGATGTTTTCATTTTTTAAGTTTTTGCACGGTGCAATTTCAAAAAATTTTTTTTTGCACGGTGCGGTCAAATTTCATTACCTTTTTGCACTGTGCAGCCTGATATTATAGAACATCGGATTATTGTGAACGTATTTACACTCCAAATTTGATTTCCCAAGATGTTTTCATTTTTTAAGTTTTTGCACGGTGCAATTTCAAAAAATTTTTTTTGCACGGTGCGGTCAAATTTCATTACCTTTTTGCACTGTGCAGCCTGATATTATAGAAAATCGGATTATTGTGAACGTATTTACACTACGAATTTTATTTTCCACTATGTTTTCTTTTTTTTTCATGTTTTGCACGGTGCAATTTCAAAAAATTTTTTTTTGCACAGTGCGGTCAAATTTTATTAACTTTTTGCACTGTGCAATCGACTTTTTTTTAAAGCGAATTGTAGACAGCATATTTTAGTACACTCCAAATTTAATTTTCAAATAAAAAAATTTTGTTTTTGGCATTTTGCATGGTGCAATTTCAAAAAGAAATTTTTTCGCACGGTGCAGTTACAAAAATATTTTTCGCACCGTGCAAAAAAGGAAAACCTTGAAAAAAAATTTTTTGGGCTTCCAAAAAGTTTTTTTGACCACTAATTTGTTACTTACAACCAATTTCCAGGCGTCTCTCAGCCCTACATTTCCAAACTCCTCAACGGAAATCATCGCGAGCTCTCGCTGCGATGTCGTCGCAACATCTACGCATGGTACCTAAATTGTCGTCGGCATCCGGCCATGTACTGTCAGGACCCGACCACACGTCTGGAGACGAATGGCGATGGGGAGTTGGTGCCGCAGCGGCGCGAGCGCTACGTTTTTCGGCCCGTCCTCATCCGCATGCTGGAGCAATTTTTCGCCGAATCCCCGTTCCCCGACGGCAATAAGCGCGCCGAAATTGCACAGGCTTGCAACACAGCCCTTCAGGCGGAGAAACGAGGTGAGAAAGGGTGATTTTTCTTTTTCATTTTGAGGTTTTTGGATACTTTTTTCAATTTTTTAACCAATTTTCATCTTTTTTCGGCGTTTTCATCAAAAAAATCAAATTTTTTAGCTATGTAAAACTTTTTTCCCTCCCCGTCTATTCTTACAGTATATTTTCTAGTGATTTTAGGGGGCCAGCTGATGCCGAAAGAAGTGGTAACGCCGCAGGTCATCGCCAATTGGTTTGCCAATAAGCGAAAGGAAATGAGGAGGAAATCCAATGAGGAGAACAGGAATCGACAATTCCTGAATCCAGTAAGCGTTTCGGGAGGGTTTTGTGGGATTTTTATGAATATGCAAATTTTTTATTTTTTTTAAATTTGAATATTTTGAGACAAAAGTTGCCGAAATTCGATTTTGAATTAAAAAATTTTAAGTTTTAAAAATATATGCAAATTTTTCGAAATTTTCGAAATTTGCATATATTTAAAATTTTTTTAAAAAATGCCTGAAAATTTAATTTTTTGAACTTCTAGAGACTTCTGAAGCCTTTCAGAAAATTTTTTGTATAAAATTTGCATATTTCAAAAAATTTGAATATTAAAATTTCCTCAATTTTTTTCAAAAAAAAAATTCGAAATGCCTGAAAATTTAATTTTGTGAACTTCTAGACACTTCTCATGCCTCAACAAAAGATTTTTTACACAAAATTTGCATATTCCAAAAAAAATTTGAATATTAAAATTTCCTTAATTTCCCTCAATTTTCCCTCTATAATTAATCTTTCCAGTCGGCACTAGAAACTCCCTCCTCCCCCGAGGGCTCTACCAGCTCATTCGTCGAATCGCCCAGCTCCAATCTGCTGCCTCCCCTCCAATTCGGCGTCCCATTGGCCTTCCTCACCCAACAGCAACAGCCCCAGCCCCAACCGCCCCCACAAGGCATCTCCATCGAGAACCTGTTGGCCCTCAACAACCTCTCCAACCCCTTGACCGAGCTGCTGCAGCGCTCCGTCCAACTGCAGCAGCTGAATCGCAACGATTCCGCGACGATTTCGTCGACGGAGAAGGTCGACGAACAGATGCCCGTGCTGAGCGCCATCAACGACGAAACGCATGCAAGTGAGGACGGGTCAACGCCCTCAAGTCGGTCGTCGCCTCAAGCCCCGAATTCGACGGAATCGCTCAAGTCGGGCGACGAGTCGATGAGCAACAAAAATCAGTTCGATTTGATGGAGAAAATGTTCGGTGCTTCGATGATGAGCCTAATGCAACAACTAAAGCCCAACCCACTGCCCAGTGTGGAGTAAAACACCGTCGATGGACAAGATTTGCGTTGATGGAATCGGAAATTTTGTTGATGAAAAGGTCAAAAAAAAAGTTTTTTTTTTTTGAAATTCAATAAAAATCTAGATTTTTTCCGAAATTTCATTGATGGACAAAAAATTTCATCAATGAATTTGTCGATGAAAACATGAAAACCCCTTTTTTGGCCAAAAAAAAATCTTGTTTTGACCTAAAATTTTTATAAAAATGAATTTTCATCAACGAAAATACCCGATTCCATCGACGAAACACACTTTTACAACACGATAACGTCTAAATATTCCTCATGAAAATCGATCTGCTTCCATTTTTGTAACTTCTTCCCTATCTCGCCATCGGCACTGTCTGACGTACAAAACAAACAAATTGCTCTTCCAACCCGGCTGGGTTACTGTAATTTTTCGCGGTTTTTCCACATAACGCGGTTTGAAATTTACTTTTGACTATGAGATTTGATAAAATTCTTAAAATACGACACGCTACAGTACCAAAAATTTTACAGATTTTTCAAACTTTAAACGCCCATATATCGGTTGTTTCTGCATAACGCGGTTTGAAATTTTCAGAAATTTACCTAGACACCCATACCTTTCATTCACCCAAATTTTTTCCGAATCCGAGGCCATTAATTTTCAGTGGAAAACTACAGTAACCCCGCGCCAATAATTAACTTCCCGGCCATCAAATTTCTACATTTTCGTATTTATTCGTGGCTTCCGTCTATTGTAATTTTCGGCTACTTTTCCCACGTTTACTTAACCGGTAACAGCCCTGACATGCTTTCCTCCCTTGTTCGAGACCCACACTTTTATTCCCCCCGATAAACACCGTTTACTCTTGCTAATTGTTTTGACAAATGTTTTGTTCGCACGGATTTATTCTACGATTACTTTATTTACTTCGTTTGCTTATTGAATCGGCTAATAAAAAAAATTATTTGATTTTTTTTTTTTTTTTTTTTGAGAAATCTTTCATGATGACTAAAATACGGTGTAGAATACGAGTCTGACTGCAATTATCATCAAAAAAATTCAGAATTCAAATACCACGACACGCATCGGGCTTCCTGCTGAAGATTCGGTCCACTTTGCACTGTGCGGATGATTGCACAGTGCAAAATCGTTCATAATGTTTCGCACAGTGCAAAAAAAAGGAAAAATGCACTGTGCCTCCACAGCTCTAATCTTTTTCAGAGGTCCATAGCCTCTGTCGCGGCGCACAGTGCATTTTGCGTGTTTTTGCACAATGCGCTGTGTCACGACTTCGCGTGCGAATTTGCATATTCCCACGGAATGACCGACAAATTGGTATAAAAGGAAGAGAAATCGCCAGTTATTATGATTATTTTTGTGTTTTGTCTATATTTCCCGGTTGGATATTGGAATAAATTGTATTGTCTATTTGTCTATTAGTATTGTGTCTATGGTCTCTTGTGTGGTTGGAGTCAAGCATTGTGAGTTAATTTGTGAAGTTGTTGCCTAGGGCATAATTAGTGTATTGTCGATTGTTTCTGTTGTCGTTGTATTCGCATAGGGCTTGGGATCAGAAATAGCAACTACAGATTAGGGACCCCTTTTACTTGACCTATACCAAGGTCTTGACAGCTGATCGTTTTGAATATTTCGCACAGTGCAATTGTCTGTCGCAAGAATTCGCAGCGACACCGCTGAAAATACGTATTTTTAATTGCACGGTGCAAGGCGGGACTGTTTTTTTAACTTTTTTTGATGGCACGGTGCAAAAGGTGAAGGCTAAAAATGCACGGTGCAGAACACCTCTTTAACAGTCTGTCGGGAAAATAATGAGGACCCTGTCGATGCAATAGTTGCGTCGCCGAAGTGAAAAGCAGTTCGATTTTCTCCGCGACACGGTTCATCTTCTTGGCGGCGACGCGATTTTCGATGCGACAGATTGCTCATTATTTTCCCGACAGATTGATAAACAAAAAGTACACACCCTTTTGAAATATTTGTTGTTCGTATCTTGCCTTATAATGTACCGTAATTTTCCCATTTTTAGGCAACCCTATTCCGGGGGTCGGCCGCGATTTTCGATGCGTCCCGAGGGCCGTGTTGTGAGCGCCTTCGGGACTTTCATTAACGTTTTCATAAAGTGACTTTTGCTAATAGTTACACTGAGGTTATTTACATGCAGTTTATTATATTTGTTTCATAACTCAAACAAAAATTCCACCTTTAAGACACTTGAACCCAAATATTCCGCCTTCTGCCGACCTTCCCCGCCAGTACCACCTCCATTTCGCCGATCTCACGGTAATGACCCCAAATCAGATGATCATGTCGATTACTCCGCGAATCGAGGTCGTTCCTACTATTTCTCGGCGCTTTATCTGCCAAATCTACGGGTCGGTAGCCAACGGAGAGCTGAGTGGTATTTCGAAACGAACAAGCCGGTCACTGAACTTGGCTTCCTTCAACACATTTTGTATTTTGGTCAGCAAACACTGTCGATCAATACGGTACAACTCAGAGGCAAAAAGTCCTGGGAATTGGCCCCAAATTTTGTTCAGACCGCGGCATCGTTAGACTTGGCTGCCGGGCCGGGCCGGGCCAAAGCAAAATTGAAACGGGCCGGGCCGGGCCGACCTGTTCCGGCCCGCGGGCCGGGCCGCAACTTTCGGCCCGGGCCGGCCCGGCAAAATTAAAATTCTGAATTTCAAAGCGAAAAGTTGGGTTGCCAATAAAATTAAAACGCAAAGCCAAGAAGGGGGTTTATATTTTTCTCACAGTAAGCATAATTTTATAAAAATAAAGCACGGAAGTACTGAAAAATGGCTAATAATAAGTAATTTTACTAGTAAAATCTATTAAGTACTAATGTATATTAGTGTTTGTAGTAATTTTTTGAACAAAAACTCAAAATAAACGTAACCGACATCCTTAAAAACACAATTAAGAAGTCGTGTGAAGCAACACTATCATCTTGAAGTTGAAAACCTTGTTAAACGTGGTTCCACCCTTGCTGAATCTGTAAAATCGGTCTTGGGACAATTTTTAGTAGTCTGAAAACGGATCTCGGGAATTTTTTGATTAATTTTAAAAAGGCAATGCGTTGGTAAGTAATTTTTTGCTTTAAAAATGTACTGTTAGTTGTTACAGTAAAGAAAAATATGTCATATCTAATAGCGAATTAAGGTTTTTTACTTCTTCTCAATATTCGGGCCGGGCCGCGGGCTGGGCCGGGCCGAAGAAAAATTGAAACGGGCCGGGCCGGGCCGACCTCTTCCGGCCCGCGGGCCGGGCCGCGATTTTCGGCCCGGGCCGGCCCGAGAGCCAAGTCTAGGCATCGTATACTGGTCGACAAAACTTTCTTTCCACCTGGATCTCGGGAACTGCTGGGCCTCGAACCTCGAAATTGGGCACAAAAACACTGTGGGACAGTCTAACACCATATCCAGAAAATCGTGTCGTGTGATACACTTTACATGCCGTTTTTTGAAAAAGGCAAAAACCGGATGACAAAATTTTCTTTCCAGTTTGGAAAAAGCGTGTGTAACTCGTAAGCCAGAGGGTGCTAAAGCATGGTTGTGGTACCGTTGTGATTGCGAAGAAGTTCTCTCTCGATTGGTGCATTTCAACGTGTTGAATTATGGCCCGGAAAATGGGAATCACGCACAGCAAAGCATGACAAGACTTTTTGGCCGATCTATCGGTCTGTCGGGAAAATAATGAGCGCTCTATCGCATCCAAAATCGCATCGCCGCCGAGAAAATGAATTGTGTCGGAGAGAAAATCAAATTGCTTTTCACTTCAGCGACGCAACAGGCGCAGCAACATTGTTCTCATTATTTCCCCGACAAACTGATATTTGCCGTGGAGTCAGCGGTTGGCTACTCGCGCTAGAGGATATTGGAATCTGTGGTGTGTATTGCGGCCATCTACATTTTGTGTTGTGGTCTTCTCGAATTTGGCTGAAAATGGACAAGGCGACAATGAGGCGACGCCCAAGGGCGAAGAAAGGAAAACCCCTGTAAAATTGTGATGCAAATCAAAAGAGGGCTCCTTCGAAATCACAATGATACCACAATCATGGATCGGCAGTTCGCCTAAAATAGACGCGAAAAAACGTTTTGTCGGGGAAGAAATGTGGAATTTTTGGGGCGAGGGAGTACGTTTTTGCGCGTCATTCTCTGTGGTCTCTGCGAAATCAAAACGAAGTGTAAAAAACCGATTGCGAAGAGTCTATTCCGGTCACCGGATTCCTCAGTTTGACGTGCAGCGTGTTGGGAGACCTGGTGTCTGATCGTGTTGACGAGGAACCGAATTTCTCTAATTCTTTTGGTCAATCGATAGTGTGTGGACGAAATATCTAAACGGTTCGGAAAATGCAGTGATTTACGTGAGAAATGTTTGGTAAATGTAAAAAATGATGATGAAATTGAAGATTTGTCAAATTTTAAAAACTCTCGTTATTAAACTGATGCCTGCTATATAAAAACAAAGAGTTTCTTCAACTTTTCTCAATTTGACGAAATGTCACAAGAATTATTGGAAAAATTTAATCGTCGAAATAAAACCTCCCAATCGCTCTATTGAAGTTTTTCACACAGTACATCCTCAAAATACGCAATTTCAGTTCTATTTTCTCCCTCCTTCTCGTTCCGGATTCCAACTCGAGAATCGGTAAAAGGGCCCTCTTGTTTCGACTCCGTCCTTTCTCCGGGAGCGGCTTTTTGGTCTCCATTCTGGGAGGATTTCGGAAATGCGGGCGCTAAAAAAAGGAGTGAGGACACACGCGGGAATGTCGACAGAAATGGATATCACCCCCTCAGGCCATTTCGACTCCGCTTTGGCGGCGTAATAAATATCGGGCTTTTCGTTTTGTAAAAGGGCAATAGCGGGATTTTGTCAAGATTTTTTTTTTTGACATTTTCATGACGTCATAGGGATTTTTGGCAGTTGTAAAATACGCTGTGCGAAGTATAAAAATGCGAATTTCTTGAAACTTCGCACATACATTGGGC